AGGCAGCGCTGCGGGGTCGGTCCCTGGGCGGGAGGCAGTGTCCTCCCGGCGGGACAGCTCGGGGAGCTCGCCCGCGTGGCTCGCGGGGGCTCTCCGTGGTGCTGGGTGGGACACGAGGGGCGGTGTCAGGCCGTGCCCCCCAGGGAGGGAGGTCAGAGCGTGCCCTGCATGCTACGAGGGCCCCGAGTGTGCCATTTCCCCATACAATTCGTGGAGAAATCTGGATCTCCTGGAGCAAGGGACGAAGGATGGGGGATCTAGATATTAAGCTATTAGACAGCATTCAAAGGAAGCAACGAAGATGGTGAAGGGCCTGGAGGGGAAGCTGTATGTGGAGCAGCTGAGGTCACTTGGTCTGTTCAGCCTAGAGAAGAGGTGACTGAGGGGAGACCTCATTGCTGTATACAGCTTCCTCATGAAGGGAAGCTGAGGGGCAGGCACTGACCTCTTGTCTCTGGTAACCAGTGACAGGATCCAAAGATGATCCTCAAGGGTCCTTCCACCTCTGAATATTCTGTGATGTGTTGTATTTGCAGAGAGCACTGTGGAAGTGAGAGGTGCTTCCCCCTGTCTTTGTGTCATATCTGGACTAGCAGCAACAGAGACTGAAGGTTTCTGCTGTAGTTTGTGGTGATGGTGCAAGGTGAGGTGAGGGATGAGAACAGAGGTCTGATGCACAGGGTGCATTTTGAAGAAGGAGCCATAGGATACTTGTAGATGAGACTTTGTGCATTTCTGGATCAAGTTGCTGAGTACCGAGATGTCTTTTGGATAGTTCAATTGTAAGCATTGCTGATCAAGGTGTTCTGTGAGGCAGCTTTACAGAACAATGTAAGGAAACTTCAGGATCTGATATGTCTGAGTTCCAGTGAGTGTACAGCACAAAATCAGCTTGTTCCTGCAGTCACCTTGTTCGATTGCTTGTATATAAAAGAGAAAACAGTGCAAGTGTGTAACAACTGCTATGTAGAACACAGCTGTCAGAGTGTTAAACGTGTCACTGCTCTGTAACAGTTGTGTGGTGCTCTAGGTGAATTGTTCCCTTAATGACCTTAACTTGCTTGTCTACTGGAAACAAAATTATTGTAGTGGCTATATCTTACAGGCTTGGAGGGATTCTGCCCTTCATTTGAGAGCTTCTAGCCCTAGCAGTGAAGATAACTTATTCTGGTGATTTCAGGCATTGGAATAGGTTGCCCAGGGAGGTGGTGGAATCACCATCCCTGGAGGTGTTTAAGAGTTGTCTGGACCTGGTGCTGAAAGACATGGGTTTAGGAGTTACAGTGGAGTGACAGATGAATGGTTGGACTTGATCTGAAATGTCTTTTTCAGCCTTGATGATTCTGTGATTCTGTGGTGATGTTAGTGACTTTGCACTTACAGTTCTTCCTGAACTAGGCACTAGATAAATATCTTACAGGCAAGTGTTGGCAGTCAAAGCCCAAAAAGCTGCTGAAGGTGCTGGGAGAATTGGATGCTGTGCTGTGCTGTGCTCTCACCTGCTCACTTGTGTCGTTTAAACTTGGTGCTGAACAGGCATAGGATGTGCTTTGCTCAGTGGCTGGTGGGTTGTGGCCATTCTCCTGTAGCTCTTCCAGACTGCTTGACAAGCTCTTGTTGACTGATGCCTTTGCAGTGGGAGGTACAGTGGTTGTGGAGGATCAGCCGGACGTGAGCGCGGTGCTCTCTGCCTACAACCAGCAAGGGGACCCGACGCTGTACGAGGAGTACTACAGTGGGTTGAAACACTTCATTGAGTGTTCCCTGGACTGTCATCGAGCAGAATTGTCTCAGCTGTTTTATCCTCTCTTTGTGCACATGTACTTGGAGTTGGTCTACAATCAACATGAGAGTGAGGCAAAGTCTTTTTTTGAAAGGTAATTTGTTAGCATTTGTGTTGTTGTGTTTTCCTCTTTGATTAAACCTGAAAGATACAGAAGCATAGGTTTATATACATATATATATATATGTGCATATGAATTTTATTCTCTGAAGTTGAAGAGTTTTGAAATGTGAAGTAGTGGTGTCATGGATTGCAGTAACTGTCCTTAAATTCTTTTCCAATCTCTTGTGTTAGAAAGATGAGCAAACTACATGCTTTTGAACTGCCCATTGGCAGGCAGATTTTGAACCACATTTATGGTATACTGATGGACTCTTTTCTCTAAAGTATCTATGGAGAGATGCTGCTTCTTTTGGGAAAGGTTGTGGGGTCATTTTTTAGCACTGAAAGATTGTGCTGAGATGCCACTAGAAGTATTTGCTGATGTCATAGTATGTATATCAAAATTCTTCAAATGAGATCAGAGGAATTAATTTCTGACTAATCTATAGTTTTTTGTGTTTTCATTATGTTTCACTTGTTTATCACTTGAGAAGAAAATTAAATTAAATTTGTTTTTTGGATTCAGACAAATTGTGAAAACCTTCAGTCCAGAAGTATAACTTCATCTCCCTCCAAGTGGTCAGTGGTTCTGTAAATGGTTAAACTGTCCCTTGCCACAACTGTTTTATAACCAATTGAGTAAAAATGGAATGCTCTAGATGTGTTAGCTATTAGATAATGCAGGTGGAGAGACATGCATACTGTGAGAAGTGCATATTCATGCAATGAATCAGATATAAATACATCCAAGTACTCTTGTGTCCTAAAAAGTGCCATGTGCTTTAGGATACCACAAATTAGGGTTTTGTTTCTGGAAATAAACATGTAACTGTTTATGTCAGAAGAGAACCCTTTGGGTGCATGAAATTCTGTGAGGCTCCATTTGTCTCTTCATCTTTTTTTTGAATGCTCTCACTGAGTACACTAAGGCACTGGTGTATCTTCCCCGGTGTGAAATTTGCTTCATCAGCAAAATAATCCCATGTGTAGTCAGTAGCTTCCAAATGGTCCTTACATATATGTTGCATTCTAAACTGATGTAAATAAGTGTGCACTTAGGAGATAATGTTTTCATGGTAAATCTTTTGTCATATCTTAAATGGTGTCCACAGATTTCATGGGGATCAGGAGTGCTATTACCAGGATGACCTGCGTGTGTTGTCTAGCCTAACCAAGAAAGAGCACATGAAAGGGAATGAGACTATGCTGGACTTCCGAACGAGCAAGTTTGTGCTGCGCATCTCCCGGGACTCTTACCAGCTCCTGAAGAGGCATCTTCAGGAAAAGCAGAACAATCAGATCTGGAACATTGTTCAGGAGCATCTCTACATTGATATCTTTGATGGGATGCCTCGCAGCAAGCAACAGATAGATGCTATGGTTGGAAGCTTGGCTGGGGAGGCAAAACGGGAGGCTAATAAAGCAAAGGTGAGAGAGAAAGATTGTTGCACTTTTATAATTAACTAAGTCTCCCAAGATTTTTGGGGAGATGCCTTAGTATAGACTGACAGTTGTAACTTGAGGTCTTAAAAGACAGCATGAACAGAACAAAGGAAGAGAACTGTACAAATTCTTGTTGACAGGAGTAGAAAGATCAAGATGCTTCACTGTCTGGTGGAAGAAACTGACAAACCCTTCTGAGAGACAGCATTGTGTTCAGCCCATTGAACTTAACCAACTCATGAATTACTCTGGGGTTTTAAAATGGAACACCTGATTGTTTGGCTTCCTCTTTTGTACAACAGATGTAATTTTTACTTACTACTAGTGGTTGCTGCGAGGGCTGTTTGTGTAGTACCACAGCACTATACAAATAAATTATGTAAATTGTATGGATTCCACTTTGGGGAAGGGCTAGGAGATAGTGGGAGAACTTAGAGTTGCTGGGTAAAACAGCAGAACAGGTACTGCATTTGTGATAGGCTAAGCAGTAATGGGTGCAGTAATATTAAACAGAGCATCTTTAAGGGGCAGCTCTTGTTGCTTGGACTGTTACGTTGAAAAGTTGCCATTTAAAAATCCAGTTTTTGGTAAGAACAGCAATTACTGTTTTCTCTTGTGTGTTTTATTGGCTTGTAGGTTTTCTTTGGCTTATTGAAAGAACCAGAGTTTGATGTGCCTTTGGATGATGAAGATGAAGAAGGAGAAAATGAGGAAGGAAAGCCAAAGAAGAAAAAACCTAAGAAAGATAGTGTAGGGTCAAAAAGTAAAAAACAGGACCCTAATGCTCCACCCCAAAACAGGTACCAAGGGAACAATGTGTAGAGAAGTCTTTAAATCCAGTCTTATCATGCCAGATCTGCCTCCCTGTTCACATAGCATTGTTAGCATTTTGGCTGTTACACAGCTTTAGCTTAGGGAGGTCATGGAAACCTTAGCATATAACCCTCTGTCATTGCCCTTCGAGTCAATCTAAATTTCCCTTGATAAAATTTTTCTTAAGTTACCCATGAATCTTTTCAGGTCATACACAAGTATTTATCTCATTCCATTGCCTGTCTGAAATTCTTAAAGCCACCAACTTCCTCATCAGTTAGGCTTCTACACAGCCTAAACCAATCTGTTTCAGTTCTTGTTTCTCATTTGATGTTGAGGTATAGGGCTGCATGTGAAGGTTTCGCATTCTTTGTTTGGATTAACAACAAGGAAGGTGCTTTTCCTTGTGAAAATGTGCTTCTTGTAGAATTCCTCTGCCTGAACTGAAGGACTCTGACAAGCTGGATAAAGTAATGAATATGAAGGAAGCTGCAAGGCGCGTGCGCCTCGGCCCTGAGTGCCTGCCCTCCATCTGCTTCTACACATTCCTCAATGCTTACCAGGTTGGTAAAAGAAGAGTTTGGGTAATATGGACAAAGGAATCAAAATTATGAACACCACTCTTAAAGAAAGAAGACATAACAGTGTTGGCAGGGGTTGTTGGAGTACTTGGAATAAGCCCTACGAAGTTTATGTTCCAAAATGTTCAAAATTCTCTTTAAAGACTCCTGAAAGTATAAAATTTCCATGTTCTTTGGTTTTGCTCGGATTTTGCCATAATTCCTTCATTTGCTTTTCCTGTGGGCCCAAAGTGTATCCTACAGAATGCAGTAGATGCTTTGCAGCAGGACACTGGAAAGCAGCACTGTTTGTCCCTTCTGATTGTGATTCATACACACAGCTTTATTTTTAATGGGGCAAGAATTTCTGTGTGTTTATCCAAGAATAATTCCCTCTGTTTATGTAAACAGGTCAAATTACTTTTTTATTAGTTCTTAGGATTTTGTAATATTTGAATTCATCGTGAGAGATGCAAAGAATATAAATGGATATTTTGTGTATAGGGTCTGACTGCAGTGGATATTACAGATGACTCGAGCATGATTGTGGGAGGCTTTGCTGACTCTACTGTCAGAGTGTGGTCTGTGACTCCAAAAAAGCTGCGCAGTGTGAAAACAGCAGCAGGTAATTAAGACATTCATGCTTAAGATGAGCACACATGACTTGTGGCAGCTGTGTTCTGCCTGGACAGAAGAAGATGTCCGCGGCAAGAGAGTTGTCTTTAGTGGTTAGATGCTTCACATTGTAGAAGCTATATGTGTACAGATGTATGATCACATTTTATGTACTACTATTAGAAACATTCTTAAAGGAATGAGAAATCTGGTCGTGTACACCTGCTGTGAGGAGATCAGTGCACAGAGCTTGGAACTACCCTTAACTAGTGTGGAACTACTCATAACTAACATGGAACTACCCATAACTAGTGTGGAACTACCTGTAACTAGCATGGAACTACCCATAACTAGTGCGGAACTAGCCATAACTAGTGTGGTACTAGCCATCTTGCTTCTTACCTGGGTGGTGGCTATAGGGTGTAGTAGACAGTTGGGGTTTAGGTGATCTAGGGGAGAGACTAGAGGTGCTCTGGGGGAAGTGATAGGAGGGAACTCTTGAGAAGGATGGAGGTGAATGTCCTGTAGCTCAACACCCACACAAATTAATGGAAACCAGGCTGCTTTAATTCTGCTGTTTATGTAATGGTGTGTTGTGATTGAAGCTAAATACCATGCTAACATTTCTTAATCTTGGTATTTAACTGAGATAATGCCATGATGGCATTTATGTTTGAGCTTCTGACAGTTATTCTGATACATGAGCTTTGAAATCTTGCAGACCTCAGTCTCATCGACAAAGAATCAGACGATGTCTTGGAGAGGATCATGGATGAGAAAACAGCAAGTGAGTTGAAGATTTTATATGGTCACAGTGGACCTGTCTATGGCACCAGCTTCAGTCCTGATAGGTAAAATAAGTTTACAAGCTAACTAGTTTGCTTGCATTCAATTTTAATTGCATGCTACTGAACGATAACATGTTCTTAATGCAGCTTTTTCCAAAAGGTTAAAGCAGCTCTTGTTTATGCAGCTTATAAGAAACTGTGTGAGTGTAAGTGCTTACAATGCTTGGGGTGTTGAGCATTGTCAGTTATTACTGAGATCAGCTGGAGCTGAGGGTAGCAGCACTGTTTTGGAGATTCAGGACTTAGGTGGCAAAATAAACCATCTTTATTGCAAACTGTAGCTTAGGCAGGGTTTTAACTAACTGAATTATAGAGAGGAAAAACATTGCAGCATTGATTTTAACTTACAGTACTGCAAAACATAAACCCAAATTCAGTAGGATATCATTGCACTTCAAGTTTCTCATATTCTTTTGAGACTTTATGTTCAAAATGTATGCGATGGTGCCTTTAAAATACGAGATTTAAAACCATTGTATAATTATGGGAGTCTGGACAGTCAAAAGGTTTATATGTCTCAAGTTTTGCTGATAGGAAACAACCATCACAGAAACACAGCTAAGAAGTAAACTCTGTGTGAAACATGAATGGTTTGTTTTCTCTCTCCCCCATCAGTACTGTTAAATGCCAGCAGAATGAATCCTCAACATCCAATCATCTTTTTTTAACATAAGGGCCTAGGACTGGATTCTGCTTGAGTTGGTTATTGTTGCTCACCCCACTGAAATGCTGGTTGGTGTGTGACACACTGAACAGGTGCTTTTCAGGGCATAGTTTTGTCACAGACATCTCACAGTGTTTGTGCAATGGTTATACAGCCCCTGTGTGAGTCTAAAATGTAATGTGCTGTATTTTCTTCTGTGACAGGAACTATCTGTTGTCTTGTTCTGAGGATGGCACTGTCAGGTTGTGGAGTCTCCAAACGTTCACATGTTTGGTGGGATATAAAGGACACAACTATCCAGTGTGGGATACACAATTTTCTCCTTATGGTTACTACTTTGTGTCAGGGGGACACGACAGAGTGGCTCGGTAAGAAACTGGGTGGGTTTGTACTTGTCTGGGTCAGTTTGTGGTGGATTAACCTTGACAGTGATTAGCTGATACACTCTAGCCTACCCTATTATGGGAAAAAAAATTTATTTCATGTCACTTAAAATACTGAACAAATGTTTTGATGTAGTTTTTCTATTTTTTTCAACACTTATCACCTGACGACTAAAGAGATGATGTCCTCATATGTGACCTTTTGGTTAGAAATATTCTCTTCTAGTTGTTTAACAGCTTCACAGAATGTTCTTTTTTTCCTCCCTTCTGAGAAGTATGTTTTTTCCAAAAATGCCCTGCTAATTCAATGAACTGATCCATAAGAAATCACTTTTATTCCTCATTGTGCAACAGATCATAGAATCTTGGAACAATTTGGCCTGGAAGGGACCTTTAAAGGTCATCTAGTCTAACCTCCCTGCAGTGAGCAGGGACATCTTCAACTAGCTCAGAGCCCTGTCCAACCTGATCTTGAACGTTTCCGGGGATGGAGCATCCAGCAATGTGTGCCTTTGGGCAATATGTGCCAGTGTTTCACTGCCCTCACTGTAAAAATTTCTTCCTTATATCTAGTCTAAATCTGCCCTCCTTCAGTTTGAAACTGTTATCCCTTGTCCTGTCACAACAGGCCCTGGTAAAAAGTCTGTCGCCAATAAGGTCTGACCACATTAAGGTCTCCCCAGAGCTTTCTTTTCTCCAGGCTGAACAGCCCCAACTCTCTCAGCCTTTCCTCACAGGAGAGGTGCTGCAGCCCTCTCAGCATTTTTGTGGCCTCCTCTGGAGCCTCTCCAACAGGTGCAGATACTGAGCTTCTTTAGCTTCTTCATTAATCAGGCTTTTCTTTCCAGTCTGTGGGCTACAGATCACTACCAGCCCTTGCGGATATTTGCTGGCCATCTTGCCGATGTGACATGTACCCGATTTCATCCAAACTCCAACTATATTGCCACGGGCTCAGCAGACAGGACTATACGGCTCTGGGATGTTTTGAATGGGAATTGTGTTAGAATATTCACTGGACATAAGGTAAAGGCATCTCACTCACAGTGTGAAAGTAGCTTTATTGCTGTGATGAGATTCTGAAGAGCAAACACAGCTTGACTGACTGAATATGTGTAGACTTGCTTAACTTGTTTGCTTGTCCCTCCCCAATGTCTCTTTTAGGGACCAATTCATTCATTGGCATTTTCTCCTAATGGACGATTTCTGGCTACTGGAGCAACAGATGGAAGAGTTCTGCTGTGGGATATTGGACACGGCTTGATGGTTGGAGAATTGAAAGGGCACACTGACACTATCTACGCACTCAGATTCAGCAGAGATGGGGAGATTTTAGCATCAGGTAAAATTCACCTGAAACAGTGAAGTTTCCATTGTGTTCCATAAGTCTGAAGAGGAATGGTATAATTGGTTCCTGAGAAAGATGAAGTAGAGTCACTTACTTAGCAAAAGCAGCAACTTAAAGTTGCTGGTAAAGGGTGAGTACTTCACTGAAGTGTGACCTCTCACTCTCCCAGGAAATGGAGGAAAGGTGTTAGGCACTTAGATGATAGTGAAGTTTGGGAATCTGTGTGTAGTGTTGGGGATGGAATCTGAAGTTAGAAATAACTCCAGGGCAGACAAGAAGTGGCTGGACTAGAAGAGTGCAGGATACTGGAATGGGAGTGGGACTGGGAATGCAGCAGGACTAAAGAGAGAGGAAGGGATGGAAAGGAAGGTGAGTTATCCACACCATTACTATTTCTGCATGGTAGATTTTTGATACAGAAATGTGCATATAATATTAATGAACAGGTCTGTGAGTGACAGAGCTTGTGAAGCCTGCTTGTATTTCCATCCTGTCCACATGGATTCTCTGGTGTCTAATGTACCAGAGCTCCTTTGCCAGCTTTCCTTTGACAGAGGCACTAAGTTTTGTCTCTTCATGTTTAGTGAACTGTTTACTTAAAATGTGTTGTTATTTAATGAATTTGAAACTTGTTCTGTGAACTGTCTGAAATTAGCTGACAAGTTCAAGTCACTAACAGAAGAAATGATGGACAGACACTAATTACAAGGGTAATTCCCTCATGAAACCAGGCTAGGAATATTCTCGATTTATTTAGTAGTTTGTTCCTAAATGCAGTGAGAATGCTGAGGGAGCCACTGCTTTGATCCATCCTGCTTAGCTGTTACTCCAATTTATCTACCAATGCTCCAGTGAAAGCATGGGCCACTGAGCCTGCAAAATTCTGCTCTTCCCTGTATGGTACAAAGAAACTCTTGTGTGATTTGAATTCATAAACTTTTCCTGGAGTTGACATCCAGCCCACAGGATGGTTCTGCTTTTTCAGTGCTAGCTGATAGATCCAAACCCAAGTGTTTTGAGAGAGCAATTCTTTGTGCTTTGTCCACAGGGCATCCAGGTTAGATTACAGGAAAGCTGAAATCCTGGGAACTTTTGAGTCTGCATTCAGTATGTTAAGAGTCTTCTCATAGTCTTTTGTTTTCTGAGCTTTTAATTTCTGTTAACTTGCTCCCTAGCAACTTTTTTAAATACCATTTTATTAATAAGATCCTTTAAACTTGTGGGTTTTTTTCTTTCTAGGTTCAATGGATAACACAGTTCGTCTGTGGGATGCTGTGAAGGCATTTGAAGACTTAGAAACAGATGACTTTACTACAGCCACTGGACATATAAACTTGCCTGAAAACTCACAGGACTTGTTACTGGGCACATACATGACCAAATCAACCCCAGTGGTTCACCTCCATTTCACACGCAGGAACCTGCTGCTGGCTGCAGGAGCCTACAGTTCCCAGTAGAGCAGGAGGCTGAAAGACTGTGCCAAGTCACTGCAGTAGTGACCTCAGGATGTGAGATGAGGAATGGCTTGTACAGAAGGATCCCACAAGTCCATTGCAGGGAAAATGAAACTGTGTAGACTAACACAAGCAGCATTTCTCAGCTCTGCTGTCTCATATTTATCTGCAGTTTGGAAAGGCTGGAGAGTGACAAGACATAGTGGCTGTAAAAGAAGGAATTGTTTGTGGTGCTTTTGATCCATATATGTATATATATGAAATGAGCTGTCTCCTGTCAGAGATGGTTGAGCTGTGCTGAAACTTGTGAGACGTTAACAGCCTTGATACATGTTCTCGGATTATTTTTTTAAAGCACTTAATTTATGGATAACAAATGTTTAATCAATCTCAAACACAAACAAAAACTGTCCAGTTTCAGGACAGAAGAATGTATTTTGATTCTCTATAGCCTGGGCTGGGCAACAGGTATGGTGAGAGGATCACAGCACCAATCAGGGCATTGACAGTCGGACCCAAAGGCCCACACACATGAGTTTTGTGCAGCCAAGTACCAAGTCCTGAAAAGATTTCAAATTCCTGTGCTCCTTTGAGGTGTCAGAAACACAGACCTTGTTCCTCTGTTTTCACAGGCAGCTAGTGCTTTCAGTGTGATAAGCAACCAGAAGCTCAATGTGAACTTTATTTACTTCATACTTTATTGTATGAGAAAATAAAGGGGGTCTGAGGCTGTGTCCTTTGTGCACGTTTAATGTGAAAAACAAATTAACCTAAAACTGGCGAAGAAATTTCACAGCAGAGTGAAAGGATCAGTGTGTGATCCGGTTGCTTTTGAAAGCAATTGTCCCTTGTCTGCTGAAGGGGCAATCTCCACCCACAAAAACATTGTGCCCCAGTGAGTCCTCCTGGACAACCAGCAGAGCTCAGTGGTTTATTTATTTTCTCCTGGGAAGTGCAGTGTCTGTGGTTTAGAGCAGAAACCACCCCCACCCCCCCCACAAGCCAGGCACAGCATGGTGTGGGTTTGGGTTCGGATTTGCTTTGCAATCTCTGACAAGGTGTGTGCAGGGAAATCTGTTTTGTGTTCCTCGTTACTTCCCAGTAAGGGCTTGGACACTTGACCAATCTGCTGCCTCTCTGGTGAAAACAAAAACAAAACTTGTCATTTCTAGGGTCAACTAAATGGAGAACTACCTCTCCTCTCATCTCTTCTCTGACTCTAACTCTTGGAGTAAAGATTTACTGCAGGCATTATACATCAAAATAAAGTGTGAAAAATTCACTAGGAAGCTCACCTAGGAATTTTTAAAGAGAAAAGGTTAAAACTAAATTATTATGATTTTTTTATTTGTGTAATGGTACCTCAACAAAATTTCCTAGCTCTCAGTATGACCAGTTGGATTGAAGTACAATTTTTTGACAGCTGAAAGAAAACACTGCCACATTCTGCCTTTGTATTTTGTACAGTTTTATACTTTTGATATTATAATAAATACTAAAACCACATCGTTTGTGCCTGTATGTTACAAGAACATATTTTATTCCCTTGGTGGCTGCAGTGCTTGTAATTGTGAACACTCTGCTGAGAGAAACAAAGTAATGAGAAATGTCCATGAGTAGTCATTCCATCCATGCACTTGTTCTAGAGGTGCGTGACAGGTTCTAGCTACTTACATCTATTACACTGTTACAACTAGTATTAATTCTCCGGGAAAGGGAACACAGCTGAAGCCAAGTGTGCAAAC